TGGTCCCTCTAAGAAAGCAGTGTGGCTCAGCAGGTAAAGGCAGCTGCCGCCCGCGAAGGGGGATGACCTGAGTTCGACCCCCAGGACCCATATGGAAAAAATGAGTGACCGACTCCCACAAGTCACCTCCATACAGACACACGGGCATGCACAAGCCCACAGGCCCAGACACATAATAAATAGATGTAAAAAAATAATTTTAATAATAATAACCCACAGCTGGGCACGCAGGTGGTAGTCATGACAGCAGTCCCAGCACTAGGGAAGCTGTGATGAGGAGGCTTGACAGGAGTTCCAGGCCAGCCGGCCCGACAGAGTAAAAATGTCCTGAAGCAAACAAAACCCAAAAACGATTTTTTTTTTAAATAATAAAAACAAAAAGCACGGTTGGGCTGAAGGTACTCAGGACCCTGGATTCAATCCCAGTACTGGGGGGGGGGGGGGACACCATTGACGACAATTGAGTGTGATGTCCAGCACAGCCAGAGTTAAACAATGAGGAAGACAGGGTCCCGAAACGAGGGCGAGGTCCACGAGCACGGCTATAATGGATGTCTCCGTGAACGTTCACGCTTTGCAAGGAGACGCTTGGAGAGCGAATATTCGGGTCCAAAACCTGTTACGGGAGGACCTACTGGGACCAACCACCACCAGGTATCTAAGGCACATTTTTTAAGGCACGCTGAAGCCTAATTTCAAAGGCTGTGGTCCAGATCTCAGGGCTGGCGAGATGGAAAGAATTAGCTCTTTTTAATTACAACTAGTTGTGCCACAGGCAGGAAGAGATGGAATCGTTACATGTACCAGCGCTGTAATTAGCTGCTGTTAAGAAGCCAGGCTTAGTGCATCTGAGATGCGGAGAAGCTCAGGCCAGGCACAGAAAGGACACATCCACAAACCAGGCTGGGAGGGTTATTTCCGGGTTTCTCCATGCAGCTTGCACTGTAACATTATCTTTTGGAATAATAATATAATGTATAGGCTGAAATAGCTTTAATTTTAGACCTACCCAACTGATTTGAATTTATATAAGAATTATGTGAGGTTGACATTCAAAAAGCCTACCTACTCAACAAGTGACTTCGGGGCTTTCATTGTGTCTGATATTTTCCTAGCACTAGCTGTATGTGAGTCATTAATGCTGAATATCTGCAGACAATATCTAAACGTGCAATTTATGAAGTGGGAGACTTAGGCAAGTACGTAATTGTTTTGTGCTTTGGCCCCTCATCTGTAAACAGGGATAATAACAGATCTACTTATAGAGTCGCTGTGAGGATTAAATACATGAAAAGCAGCCCTACCATAAAAAGCTCAATAGCTGTTAGAACACGAACCACATATAAGCCCAGGCCATTTGTAAAACTGATGATAGGAGCCCCGGTACCACAAAGTAGAGAGAAGGCTACGTTTAGAAATGAGGTAAGCAGCGATGGGCACTTCAGCCTCCTCCAACTGTAACTGCGCTGCCTTCCTCAAACTTAGAAATTCTCTGTCCACTATAGACGAATGAAGAAGGACGGCTCATCAATCACAGGATGTTCATTTAAAGAGCATGCAGCATTTGCTCCATGTACGAAAACCTTTAGACGTACACATTTAAAAAAAACAGACTCAATGTAGCAAAATAAACAATAACTGTTGGCATAACAATAAATCTTTGTGCTTTATAATACATGCAACACAAAATCTATTATTAAAGGACCCAGGCCATAGCATCTGAGTGAAGGGGCCTGCCTCTGTCCTGCTCCTGTGCCCCTGAAAATGCACCGGATGGATGCTTGCTGCTCATGCCCCATCCTACTGGGCTCAGACCAAGCCCAGGTCTCACTGTCTCTCTCATTCCCAGTGGAGCCAGAGGGAACAAAGCACGGCTTCTGAGCCACACCGGGAGGCTTGCAGCAAGTGAACATTGACGTTCACTACTCCAAAGGCTCGAGAATACCGAAGTCAGGCTTTCCCTCATGTTCTATTCAGGAGGGAGGAAATTCCGGGGACTTGATGCTGTCTCTGAGAACAAAAAGTCAATATTCACCAAATTACCCCTATTGCTGCCAAAGAACAACGGGGCTTCGGCAATTTTCTCCTTTTAACACAGGAGTGGAGAGGGCAGGACTTCAACACCAGCTAAATGTCAAGACCACTCTACCGAGCCCTTGTTCTCCATCAGCATGTGGGCTGCTTAGCCAGGCTCGGTGCCTTGCCAGAGACGTTCACAAAGGGGAGCCATAGAGGAGAAAGTGTGGCTCTGCACCCCTCCTCCCTCTCAGCCCGGAAAACACAGAGAGAGAAAGGTATAGATGTCTCTTCAACATAATTCAAAGCATCGTCACTAGGTAAGGCCCTTGCATAAGTGTCTCGGTAATTATATTCCAATACACTCTCTCTGGCCTTATGGAAGATGAAAAACACCGTTTTTTCCATTCCAAGCAATCTGTTAAAAGAAAACCAGCATCACTGGTAAACAGATTCCAAGCTATCAGAAGGGGAAATTAAAAATACACTTGTGTGTTTTGGATACATTCGTTAAACCATTTGTCAGACTCGTGTTCTAGCAAGAACCTATGACTGGCCCCACCACTTCTCGAGCTCAAAATGAATCTTTATATTCCAGCCTCTTCCAGTTAAATAATTGCTGCCTACGGCTTTTTAGTATGTATTAGTTATGTACATCTTTAAGAAAATGTCAGCTGGTCATGCCTGTAATCCCCCTACCTGGAGGGTAGAGGCAGGAGGGTTAGGACTTGAAGGCTAGCCTCAGCTACATGGTAATCTAAAGACCAGCTTGGGCTATAAGAGACTTTATCTCAAAAAAACATGCTCAGGGAAAAATAATGTATAACAATATCATAATGAAAACCATGACTATGTGGAATTAATATATGCTAATAAAGACTGAAATATAATAATCTCCCAATATGTCTTCATGTTCTATTCTTTGGACAAAATTATTGCCCTACATACCTAGTTCTCTTTCTGGAACTAGCCTGGCTGGTGAAAAGATTTTCAGATTACCCGGCCTGATCATATTCTCTAGCAGAGAACTAAGTCACAGAGAGCACATGAACTCCCAGACAGGACCAAAACAGGATGCTCGACTTTCATGGAATCACTTGCAAATAATGGATTCCCAGGACCTTCGTCATCCACTTGCTATTCTGACAGCTGCCCTGTGCCCAGTCATGAAAAAAGGCCCCTCGAGCTGGTGTAGGTGGGTGGGAGGACCAGGTCAGAGCTTCAGAAAAGACTGTAAGCCTTACAGCAGAAATGCAGACTGAGATCGGTGGGGTGTGTGTGTGTGTGTGTGTGTGTGTGTGTGTGTGTGTGTGTAATTATACAACAGCTACTACTTTTCTTTTCAATTGGTTGTTACTGCCATGACCAGCAAGGAGCTGAATTAAAAGAAAAACAAATAAAAAAATAAAGACTCTGAACTCAACTGAGGGAGCTGGTTTAAGTTGACAGCAATACCAGCTCCTTCCACAGCCATCGCTCTGGACTCCAGCTGCCCCCTGCACACAACCGGAGTTCACCAGCTCCCTCCACCTGAGGTGTCCCAAACTGATGAAGGTGAGGAACCATGCCAACCCTAACGTTTTACTGATCCCAAGAGTCAGAATCTACTTGTCTTTTGTTTTGTGTTTTAATTTAATGGTACTATTAGTATCACGTGTATTTATTTTTTATTTGTGAGGAGAGGGGGGCATCATGCGCACGCTATGGTACATGTATGGAGGTCAGAGGACAACTTGTAGGAATTGATTCTCTCCTTCCACCATGTGGGTTCCAGGGACGGAGCCCTGGGTTGACAAGCTTGACAGCATGCGCCTTTACCCACATCATCTCACCAGCCCTCTTTTTTCTTGTTGTTGTTGAGGGTCTCATGTAGCCCAGGCTGGCCTTGGTTCCCTATGTAGCCAAGGATCACCTTGAACTTCTGATTCTCCTGCTCCTACCTCCACAGTGCTAGGGATCAAACCCAGGGTTTACTACATGCTAGGCACAGTCTACCAACCGAGCTACAGCCCCAGCCCCAGAAGCTACCTGTCTCTGGAGTTCAAACATTTTATTATATTGCTAAGATGTACTTACTACAGACTACACTGAAAAAATAGCTCAATGGCATCTATCTTATTTTTTTAATTTCTTCTTTTTCGTAGACAACGTCTCTCTACGTAGTCCTGGCTGTCCTAGAACTTACTGTGTAGACTAGGCTGGCCTCGAACTCACAGAGATCCGCCTGCCTCTGCCTCCCGAGTGCTGGGATTAAAAGGATGTGTCACCACACCCAACTCTGAGTCTATCATGAATTCCTCTCAGTAAATCAAGAAGGACCACCGCCGCCCGGCACAGTCCTCCAGATCACAAAGCAAGGGCTGGATCCCACCAGTGCACAGAGCAAAGGTCGTGAGCCCAGCTCAGAGCAGCGGATCACTTGCCTAACGCATGCCCGGCTTCAATTTCTAACAAAAACACGCCTGTTAAAGCTTTAAACTGAGCAAATGCACGGAGCTGATGCCAGTAACAGGGTCATAAAGAACAAGGTTTTCATCCCAGAGATACTCACAAGAAAATAAAAAGCCACATACCCTATGAGGGCTAGCGCCACGGGTCTGCAAACTAAACCCTGTGTTCGCATGTTCTAGCCCCTGCGTTCATTCCCTCGCATTCATTCTCACCACTGTATCGATTGCAGGAATCTGAAGACGCCCCGCATTTCCCCAAGAGTATCTGCTAGACATTGTGTGTGATGCTAACAGACACTCAGGTAAATGGTTAGGAATGGAGGAGGCGACAAAAAGACGCCTCATCACTGTGGAACCCGCTCAGGACTTCTGTACGCTAATAATACACACTATCAATTCCAAGATCAAATCCTAGTTTGCAGGCTGCTAACTAAGCTGAGCAAGATCTTGAAGAGAGTTTGAGGAGCTTCCAAGAAGGCTTTGGTCACAGTGTTTCCGGGCACGTTAGGGCAAGTTCCGAACGGTCGGTCTCACCTGATGTGTGTGGCGGGCAGGGACTCATACTGGCGAGACAGAAAGAGTTCCCTATGCTTCAACTGATGCTTCTGCTTCTCAGTGAGGTCAGCCTCAACGGTCATCTCGGTTTCTTCCTCTGTTTCCTCTACACAAACGAAATCCAAAGAATCCATCGTTACAACTCAGGCTGCCTCTTGGGATACTAAAGCAGAATGAACCGACAGGTCAGATCAGCATTTCATTTGATCATTTCTTCACACTGATCACTTTCGAACTTCACATTCAACTTTTCATTGCAATCCCAACTCTAAAATTAAGTTCTCAGGGCTGCCAAGAAGAAGATAAATACCCATCTTAACATGGCAGAACCGGACATGGTGATACACACTCGTGGTCCCGGCACTCTGGAAGCTGAGGCAGGAGGATCACCAATTCAAAGCCCATCTGGATGAGATAGTAAGTTCAAGGTGAACAAGTACTCCTCAGTGAGAGCTGTCTTAAAATAAATAACAAGTGTGAGCAGCGGCCGGAGAGTTGGCCAGGGGGTTGAACGCACTTCCTGTAAATCATGGAGCACAGTTAGGATCCCAACACCCACATATCAAGCCGGTGTCCTTACAAACACCTGGAGCCCCACCTCTGAGAACAAAGGTGGGGGACTTCTGCAGCTTGCTGCCTTCCAGCCTAGGAGAGAAAACCCAACCCTAGGTTCAGGATAGACCCTGCCTCAAAGGAATACACAGAGAATAATGGAAGAGGACACCCAACACCCTCTTCTGGCCTTTAGGCAGACACGCCTAAAAACACACATGTGCATACACTCACACAGATACACACAAATAAATTTCTCTAAAATATTAAGTAACATTAAAAGTGAATGACTGTAAAAATGGCAGCTAAGGTGTGAACGGCAGTCAAATACGCCTGAAATCTCAGCACTCGGGAGGCTGAGGCAGAAAGATGGAGAGTTCTAAGTTAGCCAGGGGCTGATCTCAAAATTCCTTAATTAAAATAAAATATAAATGGAGGTGGGTGTGGTGGTGCATACCTTTAATCCCAGCCCTTAGGGAGCAAAGGCAGGTGGATCTCTGTGAGTTCGAGGCCAGCCTGGGCTACAGAGTGAGTTCCAGGTCAGCAATGACTACATAGTGAGACCCTATCTCAAAAAACAAACAAGAAAGAAACCGAGACGAGAGAGAGAGAGAGAGAGAGAGAGAGAGAGAGAGAGAGAGAGAGAGAGAGAGAGAGAGAGAGAGAGAGAGAGAGAACGAACCAGGCAGCAGAACTTCCAATTGAATAACACAAATAATAAACCAACTGAAAGATTAGAATTGAGGAACTATGCTTAGAAATTAGAACCTGAGGCAGGAAATGAGTAATTGAAAACAAGCAAGCAAACGAAACACTGAGACTTTTTTTTACAGCCCAGGCAGGGAGCTGGGAGTGCTGAGCACACAGGAAACCCTGAGCCTGAGTACCAGGACGGCAGAAGCCCCAGTGGAGGTGGATGCTGGAACCCCAGCACTCAGGAGAGAAAGGCAAAAGGATCAGAAAGGTCATCAGAAAGGTCATCCTAGTCCGCGGATAGCAAGGAATCTAAAAGAATTGTCTCAAAACAAACAAACAAATAAACTAACTGTCCAGTACTGGAGGGTCTCAGACCCTCCTCTGTGTATACAGGGATCAGACTCATAATACTTAGCACCCTCTTTGTCTTGTATGAATACTGTAAGCCAAGTCATTTTTGGAGGGGGAAACATACTTGTGATACCAGACACTGAGGCAGGATATGTCAACCTGGGCTTTATAGAGTCTAGATCCTGTTTCCGAAGCAAAAACAAAAACCTACGAAGACCAACATGGCAGAAAGGGGGGGGGGGGGGGGGGAATGTCCCAGAAAGAAAAAGAGGAAAATGGCCATCTTCTCTATCTTTTCTCTCTGCAGCAGGCACAGGAGCGGGGGCTGCTGGAAAACCCTCCCTTCCTGAAGGTAACTAGCCTCCAGCGCCTTCCACACACTTTGTGTTTAAAAGCGGCAACCTCAGAAACTGGAATAGCATTGAAGCGCCTTGTTCCTGGGGAGCCTTGTGTTAAGACAGTGGTGCAGTGTGCCACCCAAGAGGAAAAGAGTTGTAATCAATTCTCCAGGCTGAGAGCAAAGAGGGCTTTTCATCCACTCAACCAGCATTTATTAGGAGTGGGGCAGGTGTTCCTCAGTGAGCAGGACAGTGACTGAGAAACGACTCCCAGCCTTGGCCACTGAGAAGCAGGGCCGGAGGCCACGGGAAAAACGAAGCAGCAAGGTTCTCCGTGGTGTTCCGTTGTGATTTTTGAGGCGCTCTAGCCAGGTAGCAGAAGCTGGCCTCGAACTCACTGCCTTAGTTACTTTCCTACTGCTGTGACTGTAACTTAGAGGAAGAAAGGGCCCATTTCACCCACACCTCAGGTGACGAGGCATCACGAGGCAAGTCAGGACAGGATGCTAGAGACAGAAACTGAAGCAGAAGAAATCAACGGGAGCTGCTTACTGGCTTGCTCCGGATGGTTTGCTCAGCCTGCTTTCTTATAGAACCCAGGACCATCTATCTGCCCAGGGGTAGCCCCACCCACACGGGTTGTACCCTCTCCCATCAATCATTAATTAAGAAAATGCCTGACAGACTTGTCCACAAGCCAGTCTTGTGAACGTACTTTCTCAACGAGAGCCCCTCTTCCCAAACGCCTCTCGCTTGCGTCACGTTGGCCAAAACCTAATGGCACTCACTTCTGGCCTTCCTCTCCTGATGACTGAGATTGTGGTGTGTACTACCACACCCGGCCACATGATCTTTCTGACATCACATGTAATATCTTTAAAGAGAAAGGGACACCAATATCATTTACAGGCCTAATTCTGATTAACTTGAGCTACACAACTTTCCTGGAGCAGACTGCACAGCTATGGTGCAGCGACTCGGCGTGAGGCTGCAGGACAGGAAGAGCGCAGCTGCTCTTCCTGCAGAGTGAACGAGGTGCCACACAGACAGCAGCAGATCCAGCTGTCACGGGTCTTATCTCGGGGGTCCAGGACCACCGAAGGCATTTTATCAAACACAGTTCCACACAATTCTGTTTTTAATTGCAAGAGGGCCTGGCGTCTCTGATCCAGATCCTAAAGTTCTGAACTGAAAAAAAGCCTGAAAAACCGATGGGCTTTAAAAGCGCCTCAGCTGGGAGCCGGGAAGTTGTCTCAGCAGGTAAGGGCACCTGCAAGAAGCCTGATGATGACCTGAGTTCCAACCCCGGGGCCCCACGTGATGGGAGGCGAGAAGTGACTCTCGGAGTTGTCCTCTGACGTCCATCTGTATGCAGAGGTGGACAGGGGAACACACAGACACACTCACACTCAGACACACACATAGACACACACACTGATATAGACACACACACACTCATAGACACACACACACAGATATAGACACACACAGACACACACACACATAGACACACACACTCAGACACACACATAGACACACACACTGATATAGACACACACACACTCATAGACACACACACACAGATATAGACACACACAGACACACACACACATAGACACACAGACTCAGACACACACATAGACACACACAGATATAGACACACACACACAGATATAGACACACACAGATATAGACACACACACACACTCATAGACACACACACACAGATATAGACACACACACTCATAGACACACACACAGATACAGACACACACACACTCATAGACACACACACAGATATAGACACACACAGACACACACACACACTCATAGACACACACAGACACACACACACTATCAAGTTAAAGTCTCACCATGCCCAAACAAAGAACACGGCAATTCCAGGCCCCTGAATGTCCTCTCTGAGGACCACACAGAGCAGCAGGTCTAATAAACTCAAGTGATTGCGGCATTGGCAATATTAGCCCAGCAAATAGCACACGGAACCCCGATCTTTATTTACCTAACTAGAATCTGACAAGTGTTGCTCTAGAAAACATGGCTGACTGAATTCTAACGGTGCCTACGGAGGGAAAAGCACCAACACACGTCACACCAACGAGAGCACGCCTCGCCTTTTGTTGTTGGTGTTTTGGTTTGTGTTTTTGGTTCTGTTCCTGTTTTTAGACAGGGTCTCACCATGTAGTCTTGGCTGGCCTGGAACTCACAAAGATCTGCCTGCCTCTGCCTTCCAAGTGTGTGTATGTATGTATGTATGCATGCATGCATGTATGCATGTATGTATATATGTACGTATGTTTGTTTCTAGCAGAAGTTGGCCTGGAATTCACTATACAGTCCAGGCTGACCTTAAACTCAAGGTACTCCTACCTTAGTCTACCAAATGCTGACTTTCTATTTTTGTGGTGCTGAGGACAAAACACAGGACCTGAGCTCCTGAGCAAGCACTCTATCACTGAGCTATACACCTGCTAAAATTTTGTTTGGTTTGGTTTGATTTTCCAGACAGGGTTTCTCTGTGTAGCTTTGGAGCCTTTCCTGGATCTCACTCCGTAGACCAGGCTGGTACTGAACTCACAGAGATCCTCCTGCCTCTGCCTCCCAAATGGGGTTAAAGGTGTGAGCCATGACTCCCGGCCTGTTTTCTTTCTCTCTCTCCCCCCCCTTCCCTCTCTCTCGCTGTGGGATGTTTTCCTGTACGCTGTGAATATGTGTTGCTACCATTGGTTAATAAAGAAGCTGCTTTGGCCTATGGCAAGGCAGAGGAGAGCCAGGCAGGAAGGAGAAAAGTGGGGTCGGAGGAAACGCTGTGAGCCACCACCAGGAGAAGCAAGATGTGAGAGAACAGGTAATGCCAGGAAGCCACGTAGCAAAACATAGATTAATAGGAATGGGTTGAGTTAAGTTGTAAGAGCTAGTTAGCAATGAGCCTGAGCCACAGGCCATACAGTTTGTAATTAATATAAACCTGTGTGTTCATTTGGGTCTGACAGCTGAGGAGCCAGGCAGGACAGAAATCTCCTCTATTCAGTGTCTGTCTGTCTGTCTGTCTCTCTCTCTCTCTCTCTCCTTCCTTCCTTCCTTTGTGTATGTGAGGGCCTAGAGAGATGGTTCAGTGGTGACAAGCACTGCCTGCTCTTCCAGAAGA